AAAAAAAAACAAACCATAAAACAAGCAAGAAAAAAGAGAACAGAGATTGGAAGTTTGAATTATTACCAAACAGGAATTCTTTATTCTCCCAGCCAGGACCCAAATGTGGGATTCGGTTCTTTACAGCTGTGAAGGACACGGAGCCAATACTGCTGGAAAGGTCAGGTTTTCCCAGAATCGTGCCAGACGAAGGAAGGAGCTCCTCCAGAACTGATTTCCCCACATCTGTTTGGACAGAGGGACTGATGAGCAGATGACTCCCAACAGGAAACCGTGACTTATTTTCTAAATCCTGACCTCCAGAGCTGTGAGTGCAGCTGAGAACCCGGCCGATGTTTCTGTACGTGGTGTTTTACTCCTGAGCCTCCCCCGGGGGCTGTTGTCAGTCTGATTGTACAAGTGTGTATTCCCTCAAACGATTAAAAATAAAAATAAAAATAAAAATAAAAATAAAAATAAAAATAAGAACGGCTCACGGTCGTCATCTGTGGTCACAGAGGAGCTCCGTAAGCCCCCAGTGCTGGGGATGAAAGGAGACGAAATCCCGCTGCGTTTTGCTTCTTCTTTCTTTCTTTTTGGCCTTCCCAAGGCTGTTGTGGAGGGAAGGGGCAGAAGGAAATCTGTGTGACACAACTGCAGCCCTTGCAGAGCTCACCCCCCTCCATAAAGACGAGTGAACGCGACAGCCACTGATGGGCGCTCGCTTCCCTTCGCGTTCGCTCCGTGGCTGGAGACCCTTCGCCATCACTCTGATGTCTCTTTTTAAGAGGGAACGGGGAAACTTTTGGCAGAAGCAGCAGATTTGGGTGTAATTTTGCCCACGTGGCCGCTGGGCGCTTTGCTACAGGCGATTCGCTTCCACCTTTGTCACACAGTGGGTTGCAAGGGGGTCCTGCTGGGGTTTCCTCTACTCAGCACTGGTGAGGCCGCACCTCGAGTGCTGGGTTCAGTTTTGGGCCCCTCACTACAAGAAAGACATGGAGGACATGGAATGTGTTCAAAGGAGGGCAATGAAATGGTGAGGGGTCTGGAGCACAGGGCTGAGGAGGAGCGGCTGAGGGAGCTGGGAATGTTCAGTGTGGAGAAGAGGAGCTCAGGGGAGGCTGCATTGCACTGTGCAACTTCATGAAGGGAGGCTGTGGTGCAGAAGGGTCTGGCCTCTTCTCCCAGGCCAATAGTAGGAGCCGAGGAAATGGCAGGAAGTTGTAGCAGAGGAGGTTTAGGTTGGACATGAGGAGAAACTTCTTCTCTCAGAGGGTGGTCAGGCACTGCAATGGCTGCACAGGGAGGTGGTGGAGTCGCCGTCCGTGGCGGCGTTCAAGAGGCGCCTGGATGAGGAGCTACGAGATGTGGTTTAGTGCTGGTGGTACTGATAGCAATGGGAGGGGGGTTGGACTGGATGATCTTGCAGGTCGTTTCCAACCTTGTGATTCTGTGATTCTGTGGAAGGGGGTCCCACTGCACCAGCAGCACAGCCAGGTATCGGGGCTCGGCGACTGCTCCCAGCTGTGTTTTGCAGCTGGAAACGCGTTCTTGCAGCAATAAAAGACAGCAAGCACTGCTTCTGAGGCAGGAGAAGCTTTGCGATTGGGATCTGATTCTTCTGCAAAGCCCCGATGGGCGGCGGGGAGGAATGCGCGCTCAGGGGGAGGAAATCACTCCAGGGAAAGGCTGAGCTCACCCTGCAGCAGAGCACAGAGCAGGAGGGCAGCAGGCTGGACGACACCCACGCTTTCTGGCTTTGCCTCAGTGCTTTTGAGAGGAGCAAACCTCGCTCTCAGCACACAGGGCTCACAACAGCAAGCTGGAAATTCCCCCTGCCCAGAGAGGAGGAGAAAGGGCGAAGGAAAGCAAAACAGAGAGGCCAGAGTGGAAAACCCTTCATCTGCCCAGCAGCAGCTCGAAGCCCAGCGGGACAGCAGCCAAGGAAAGCAAACGGTGTGTGCGAATGGAATGCGGCTCCGCACGGCTCTCTGCCCTCTGCCGCTGCCCACCAAAGACCCGGGGCTGCTGGCAGCACTAAATCTCCCCCGTCGACGGCCAACACCAAAGGGACGGTGCTGATTTATGGCTCCTTTCAGTAAGAGAAGCAGAGTGTAAAACGAGAATATTTTCTGGGTGAAAAATGAAAGAGGCTTTTGGGGGAGTTCCTCATTCCGGGGCGGTGTGTGGTTCACCTCCAGAGTTCAGCTTGGAAAGAAAAGTGACATCAGCCAAAGCCACGGGAGGGAAACAAAAAACAAACCCGGTGCTCAACTTTGTGTTCTGAGCTCCAAAAAGGGGGAAAATGAGGCAGGGAATCATCGCGGCGATCCTCGGGTGTCTGTTAGATACAGAGCTCAGAACACTTTAATTAATTATTCCTTGTTGCCCCCCAGCTGGGTGGGTGTTTTTGGTTTGGGGGGACACGCAGGGAAGCTTGGAACAGCTCAGAGTTTCCTTGCAGGGACACTCAGTGGGGAAGGGAAAGCAGAACCGGCCCCCACCTTGCTTAACCTGTGAACACAATCAGAACTGAGAACAATTAAAAGCGGGGGCAATAAAACACAGGATGGAGCGATGGCCGAAGGACGGGAGCCAAGAATCAGAACCACAGTGACAAAGAGAGCTGCATGTCCCATGTTTTCAGATGGCAGCTTCTGCTGGGCAAAAAACAGCGGAGCAACCGCTGCATTCTTCAGGTGCTGCCCTTCAGGACGCTTCCCAAAGGTAGAAACACAGACGTGGTGGATGGGTTTGGAAATAACAGCTTCCTCCTCTGTTTTCAGGAGCAGTTTCTCACCCCCTGTACGTGGCTTTGCTGCTCTGCCCTCCTTTTCCACTTGTCACAGCCAAAACGCAGAGGGAAAAGAGCAGAACTCCATCTCCACAATCCCCAGGTTCAGGATCAGTCGGGTCCTGCTGCTCCATGCGAGGCGCCCCGGCAGCTCAGCGGTTAATGCATCGATAAAGAAATAATGGAGCAGCTCCAGCTCTGGAGGAGACGTGACCGGGCTTCAGAGGAGGCCCACAGCACCTCAACCACAATGAAAAATGGCTTTGCTGCCACCGTGCCGACGTTTCAATGCGGTGTCAACAGCACGCAAAGCAACCTCCGCTCCCATGCAGCCCTTAATAAAGCTGTTGGGGCTGCAGACTTCGCCAACTGCGCTGCTCAGGATAAACGCATCGCCAAAGAATCACTGGAAATAAGTTTTTCCTCCAATAGCGCTTCCCAAAATGCCTTTTGGGAGCAAAGCTGTCGTCTCCTTTTCCTCCCCACTTGGAAAGCAGAGCGCGTTTTAGTTTTTACATTTCAAACACTGCTCAGTGAAAAGGAAAAGCGTTTCCTGTGAGCATGGATGCTCTCATCTGCTCCATCTCAAATCCCACTCGTGCTGCAGTGCGTCGAGACGATTCGGGCTGTGCTGGAAGCAGGGACAGAGCCACAGCCATCCGCTGCACCTCTCCCCAAAGGAGTTAAACTCTGCCCGGCTGGAGGATTGAGCTGAGTGAAGGCTGCCAACCCCGCTTGGCCTCACGCCGGGGTTGGAACGCGGATCTGTGCGACCCGGGGGTGGTATGGCAGTGGGAATGGATCCCAGCCAAGTTCCTGCTCCACGCCTCACCTTTCCCTTCAGGTACAACAACTCATGGCCTCAAGCTGCGCCAGGGGAGGCTCAGTTTGGATGTTAGGGAAAAAATCCCTCTTCCGAAAGAGTGGTCGGATGCTGGAATGGGAGCGGCGGGGGTCGAGAAAAAGCAGTTTGCAGAGGGCAGAATCTCTTCATCCACTCCTCGTAAAACACCCTTACAGAGTGATGGTTTATTTCCATTCATTACAGCCCAGAAATCGGGCTCTGTGTCCCCCCCCCAAAGCGAGGACACGGGCAGCAGCCCCCCACCCTCAGCAGATCTTCAATGCGTTGCTGACGGCTCAGAGTTGGAGGAGCTCCTCTGAAGTTTGCAGTTGTTCTGCTGTGGGAAGACTCCCTCTGCTGTTCTAAAGCTGCACAAAGCCCACGGGGCTCCCAAACTGGGCAAGCTGGGAATTCCATGCTTGAGGAAACAAGGAGTCAGTTCAGCTCCAAAAGCAGCTCCTGTCAACAGTGGAAAAAGCCAGAGCTGGGTTTCAGTCTTCAGCAGCGTGTTGGCTGGTTACTTTTTATTGGGGCAAAGGCAAAACGCTGTCCTCAGAGACAAAAGGAATTCCTCAGTACAAGCTGCAGAAATAAAAGGTGGCTTTCGTTTCCTACCCAAGTGACCCACGGGTTTTTCAGAGGGGGAGCAGTGACCCAACCAAGCACTGTGATGAGAATGCAGAGTATCAAGAGTTTTCTTTTGCTTCCGACCATGAGTTTTAATTCCGGGGGGTCCCCTGCGAAGAAAACAACACCAATAGACAAATAAAAGACATGAAAACACACAGGAGAGATTTTCGATATCAGTGAGTTTAGGTTCAGTATTCCCATGCTTCCTATTTCTCTGGGAAGAGCACAGAATCACCAAATCCCACAACAGGTAAGGTTGGAGGAGACCTTAAAGATCACAGAACGTAAATTGGGTCGGATTGGAAGAGACCCCAAAAACACACAACCACAGAACGGTTGGGTTGGAAGGGTCCTTAAAGATCAAAGAATGATGGGATCACAGCACGGTTGGGTTGGAAGGACCCCAAAGCCCCCCCAGCCCCCCAGAATGGGCTGTGTGCCCCCCACCAGCTCAGGGCCCCCATCTACAGCCTCACGCACCTCCAGGGATGGGGCACCACAGCTGTAAGCTTCACCACACCCTGGATAAAGAATTTCTTCCTCGCGTCCACCCTAAATCTCCCCTTTTTGAGTTTAAAGCCCTTCTCCCTCATCCTACCTCTCCCTACTCACGTAAAAAAGTTGCCCTCCTCTTGTTTCTAAGCTCGCTTCGAGCTTTGAGATTAAATTATTTAAGAACAGCTTTAAGATTACGGCTTCTTTCAGAATTCCCCTCCCGTTTATAAACCAGCTCTTCAACTTACAAAGAACCCCCAGCAGGAAAACCCGCATCTCTCAGCACATCCTGGGCTGGATTTTTGCACCTCTCACCTCACGCCGGCAGCTTCACCCTCTCGGCGCAGCGCAGGAAGGCGTTGACGTGCTCACTGCAGTTCAGCACCGACTCCTGGTTCTCCTTCAGGCATTGCTCGAAGGCCACGAAGGGCTCAGCACAGTCCTCCCGGATCCGCTGCACGATGGGGCTGTGGGGCAGCACGGGACCCTCAGCTCAGAGCCATGCAGGACCCATTTCTCCACATTAAAGCCCCATTTCCCCTGCACAGAGCCCAAAAGGCTGCCATTCTTCCCCACTCAGAGCCTTACAGACCACATTCTTGACCCCATAGAGCCCCATAGGCCTCCATTCTCCCTCCCTCAGAGCCCCATTTCCCCACTCAGAGCCCTACAGACCACATT